CGTCCCCCCCCCCCCCCCCCCGAATAGCCTTTAGGAAAAGAGGAAATTTTGGAGAGGGCGATTTTGTTTGTTTGTTTTGTAGACTTGGAGGCGAAGGACCACACGAACCCCTGGCGTGCTTGTAAAGACAAAATGCGAAGTCTGGGATGGAGAGAACATCCCCAGGAATTACATTTTGGCAAAGAAGGATCTTTTCCCTCCCTTCCTTGAAACAGTGAGGGCTTCCCTCCATCCACACAACTCCTTTCCTGGTGTTTTGGAAAAGCGCGTTCTGATTTCAATGTGTTCGGTTCCGGTCCATCCCCTTGATATTTCAACACAACGCTGTTTATTATCCCAGGTGCCCTAATTCCCACCGTTTCCCCCCTCTTTCTATGCGCCCTTTAAAGCATGAAAAACAAGGGGAGAAAGCTCCCCAAAATGCTACACTACCCGAGAATGGCTGTTTCTTTTTAAAGGACAGAAGGTGGTATTTTTTTTCCAAAACCCTAAATAAAATAGGGTTTTCTTGGGTGGCACCCATGAACACCCACAAAAACCCTCATACCGGCCGTGTCCCATCTCTTGGCCCTCTCGCTGCCCCCCCCCCTTTCTCTCCATCTTTATAAGTCCTGTTTCCCTTCTTTACGCACGGTCTGCCTGCCACCGCCGGCCACACACACACGCGCACATACACAGACACAAATCAGGATTACTACAGGAAGACATCAGAGACCCAAAAATAAAGGGAGATCTACTCACACATCAGAGAATCCACCCGGCCAAGAGAGAAGAGGCAGAAGAGGAAAACTGCCACCATGCTGCAAAACTTCGTGGGAGTTTGAGAAAAGAAAAAGTGGAAAAGTTAGGGGAGACGTTTTCCCCACTTCTTTCTGCTTCCTTTTTTTTTGGACCCCGAAGTAACTTCGACAGCACCTCTTCTTTGAAGGAGATCACAAGAACCTCTCTCTCTTTTTTTTCCTCCTGGCCCCAAATCTTTAAAAAAAAAAAACAAACCCGCTTTCCACCAGCGCGCAACCAAACCAAGAGAGAGAGATTTTTTTTCCAAAAGGCACGCCGGAGCAAGTCGGAGCCGTCCGGACTTGACAAGTCCCTTAATCTGCTTTTCCCCTCCCCGCCCCGGGGGGGCTCTTTTTGGCTTGTGGGGTGTGGAGTTGTGAGGGGGAGAAAAGAAAGAAAAAGAGAGAGGGGGGGAGGGAGACGCGACTTTTCCCAGCCGCCGCTGCCCGGGCGCGATCCGGCGCCTCCGACTCGGACAGAGACGCGCCCGCCGCCGTCCTCGGGCTGGGGACGCGCTCCGAGCCGACCCGGCCAGAGGGCGGGGGGCTGAGCATCCAGAAGCCCCGGTGACTCAACCACCGCGCGGAAAAGGTCGCTCGCTTCTGACTCAGGAGGAGCCCAGGCCGCCGCCAGAATTTGGCCGCTCCTTGGCGGGGGGGGGCGTCTCTCTGGGCCCGATTCTCTCTCTCAAAATACTTTTTCTTTCTTTCTTTCTGAAATCTTCCTCTCTCCTGTTACTTCTCATTCTTCAACTTTCTTTCTGAAATCTTCCTCTCTTTTCCTTTTACTCCCTTCTCATTCTTGAACTTCCTTCCTTCCTTCCTTCCTTTCGGAAATCTTCCTCTCTTTTCCTTCTACTTCTTATTCTTCAACTCTTTCTTTCTTTCTGAAATCTTCCTCTCTTTTCCTTTTACTTCCTTCTCATTCTTGAACTCTTTCTTTCTTTCTGAAATCTTCCTCTCTTTTCCTTTTACTTCCTTCTCATTCTTGAACTTTCTTTCCTTCCTTCCTCTTATCCATTATCTGCTCCTTCCATCCTTCCATTTCAAGGTGCATTCTTAATTTTTTTCCCTCGTCCTTTTCTATTGTGGTTCTTCATCCAAGCAGGTGGAGTGAAGGAGGAAGGCTGTTGATCTTCTCTTCCTTTCTGAAATCTCCCTCTCTTTTCCTTTTACTTCCTTCTCATTCTTAAGCTCTTTCTTTCCTTCCTTCCTTTGGCTCTTGGAACGATGCCCTCTTTTTCAAACTATCCCCCAAAAGCTTCTTCCCTCCACCATTCTCACGTCTGTTTTGCAAGCAAAGGACAGAGATGAGTAATGAGTAATGAGCAGTCTCTTCCCCCCCCCCTACTGATGAACCAAGTGGTTGAACTGACTCAGTCTGAAAACATTTATGGGTTTGATACGGTGAATTTTTTGTGAGGTTGACTCAGCTGCATTAGCTTTGGGGTCACACCGGGCTCTGCAGCAGCGCCATCAACAAGTTTTCTGTGTAAACCAAAAGCTGATTCAACTTGTTTATTTCCTGCTACTCTGAAATTTATCTGCTTCTGTATTATTTTATACTAACATGTCATCAAGTCACTGTTGACTGATGGGGACCCTTTTCAAGAGTACTGTATTTTCCAGATCGAGAATACTCAGAAGTGGTTTTCCCTTCCTTTTTTTCTGGGGGGCAGCCCTGGGCCACCCAGGCTGGCTCTTTCTTCCAGGAGGCCCCGTGGGGAGAGTCGAACCCCCAACCTCTGGCTCTGCAGCCAGAGACCCAGGTGTATCCTGTTGTTACACAGACGATGCTTGCCCGCACAGTCATCTCCCTGAAAAATAGTGTCTTCGAGTCTATGAGAGCAGACCAGCAGAACTCCGCGGAATTTAAGTTAGAGTAACCCAAGTTCTCATTCTCAGTGTCATGTGAGGGACTAGGACTTTGGAGAACAAGGTTCGAATCCTGACTCAGACAAAGAAAGTGGTGGTTTCAGGAGATTTGTTCTAGCTGCGCCGAGGCCGAGATTTAACCTGATACTGTAAATCGTTGAGGTTGATCATGAGCAACGCTTTTGTGTTATGTTTTGAGACCTGCCTGCTCGTGCAGGGGCAAAATCCACCGCCACGAAAACTACCTGTGGTCTTCAAGCTTAGGATGGACATGCAGAGCAAATAAATAAATAAATAAATAAATAAATATTTGGAGGAGTTTGCTTGCCGTCTTCGGGCGCGACTAACAGTTCTGCATGGGTCCAGATCAAGCAGGGGTGCAGCTAGAACACCCTTCGTTGGTTTCTGCAGGCCCTCTGCCCAGTTTTTAAAGCAAAGATCAAGTAATCACTTGCTAGCGATGCTGTCACCACCGATCTCTTGAGTGCTGTAGGGTGAGGCTAGATGACCTTTGAGATTCCTTCCTGCTCCGTTTTGGAATTTATTATTTGGACGCCAACGCAAATTCTTCTGTTGCCCCCCCCCAAGTACAGTGTGGGGGTTAATGAAGATGTCACATGACTCACGCTGGCTTCACACCTCTTCCCCCCCCCCCAGCTGCCTCCTTTGAGGGTTCTCGGATCTTGGACAGATTTTTATGGACGTCTTTCCCATGGCATGCAAACCGTTCTCTCTTGGGTGCCCGGCTTGGCACTGACTTTGGGAATTAATGAGCTCAGATCATGAGGCTTAGGCCCAGCCTGGAGGCGAAGGAAGGGGGTGTAAGGTGGAGGGAACTGGCCGGGAGTCAACATCTCCCTTAGAAGCTGGCTTTCCCGTTTCAATGTCCACTGGTGCTCCTGACTTTGAGAGTTTCCCTGGTACAGAAAAAGGAGGGGACGTGGAGCATCCCACCCTCACTCGGCTCTACATTGTTGTAATCAACATGTTTCAAGAATGTGAACAGTGTATCCAGCTCCAGCACGTTGGGAGGCTTAGTGTGGGCAGCCGCCCAGAACCAGCAGCCTGACACAGCGCAGCCCATTCGCTGATAGGGAGAGAGAGAAAAGGCCCAGATGCTTTAGGCCGTTTCTTTACGTTTTGTTGTTCATTGTTTTGAGTTCAGCCAGCCTGGGCAATGCGGCAGGATCCCGCCGTATCCACAGGGGTTCAGTATCAAACTGATTCAGTTATCTGTGGTTTGGAAAGATTAAAAGAAAAATCTTAGAAATATGTATTTGCAAAGGCGAAATGATCAGAACTGGCCACTGGAGGAAGCCAGAGACTATGCTATGCAAAGCAGCTGCTGTGGAACTACCCTTCCCTATAGCCTGCGTTTTTCAGCATCTGCAGGCGGGGGTTAGAACCGATTCCTATGGATGGGGGGGGGGTTGTAGTAACCTGCCATCCTACTGTTGTAGGAGCTGGCATTTGCTTTTAGGGTGGGGCAGATCAGGGCAGTGTCGAAGAAGGAATATCAATGACTACGCAGAAATCTCTATTTTTTCCCCTTCTGTTTGATTGCATGCTGCATGTTTCGGATATTATTGTGTTTCCGGGTTTGTGGCAAAACTGGCTTAGGATCACTGCCATGAAGACTGAGGCATGAGAATTAGAATTACAGTAGGGGAGAGAGACACATGCACACCAAGTAGGAGGTGGGGATGTTGGCAAGGCTTTGGGCATGAGTCCCAAGTTCGAGTCCCTATTAAAAACAAGCTTTTCCCCCAGAAGAAAAAGGGAAGGGTGCATGGGTTCTGAGTTCGAATCGTTTAAAAAGAACACAAGATGACTCAGTGGTGTGACTTTAAGTCTGATTTGACAGCGGCTTGAGTCCCCAGTCCCTGCCAGGAGGTATCTCGATGGGGCATCCAGGGATCATCCCAGCGGCCGACGGGGCACAAAACTCTGCCCACGTGCCCACCCACCCCATGCCTGTCGCACCATCCGTCCTCGTTCTCGCGGACAGGATCCAACGGCCTTCAGATTTCCGGGAGCGATCGAAAGTTGAGTGGGCTGGTAGGATGACCGGTTGGGAGAGTCGAGGATGGCAGCGTTGACTCACCCGGGCTGCTGCCGGGAAGCTGAAGGCTGGTGGCTATTTTGGCCTGACCTTTTTGCCGGATGAATCACCCCGGCCCCCTGGCCAACAATGATGACTGACGACGGGCCCATTTGGGAAAGCAAGGGGGGGAAGGTGTCAGGTCCAGCCCCTCGGGCCTTGGAGAAAGACCCGAATCAAAATTAACGCTGCCTTCCCTTGGCATCGGTCCTTGATCGGGGTGAATTGGGGAGTATTTGGGGACGTTTTCTTCCAGGGAATCCAAATTCAGCTCATTGGCTTTTGAGCAAAATGAGCAGCTTGTTTATTTATATTTATTTATTTTTATTTATTTATTTATTTATTTATTTATTTATTTATTTATTTATTTATTTATTTATTTATTTATTTATTTATTTATTTATTTATTTATTTATTTATTTATTTATTTATTTATTTATTTATTTATTTATTTATTTATTTATTTATTTATTTATTTATTTATTTATTTATTTATTTATTTATTTATTTATTTATTTATTTATTTATTTATTTATTTATTTATTTATTTATTTATTTATTTATTTAAAATGTTTTCACCCCACCTGGCTTGGCCGCTTAGTCCCCACCTGGGTTCGGAGAGAAGGGCGATCTGCGGTTGAGGTAAGGATGCAATCATCATCGTCTCTGAACAGCAGGGCTGAAAGGCAAGATCATCCAGTCCAGCCCCTAGCATGGAGGCCCAGTGGAGGATTCAATCTCCCAACCATTGGGCTCCCTTTCTGGGACCTGGGATGGCCCTTTCTGTCCACATTTATTACGGCTTTCCCCCACCCAGACTCAGAGACCTGGGTTCGAATCCCCACTCGGCCAGAGAAATTCACTGGGTAAGTGTGTGGAATTAATAAAACCACTCCTTAAACATCTCACATACAGTGGGGCCCCGGTGTCCGGGAGATTGGTATCTGCCGTTTCAATTCTCTGCAGTCTGAAATTATTAAAAATAAAAGAGAAAAACTAGAAATAAATATTTTTAGAATGTTTTTATCAGAACTGGCCACTAGAGGGAGGCATAGAGCTCATGCTATCTAGTCTTGAGTTAAGAAATGCATAGCATGGTCTTTGGCTCCCTCTAGTGGCCATTTCTGGTAAAACATGGCAAAAATACTTTCCCCATGGATATTTTATCCTTTACCATGTTATGTATAGTGTTTGCCCTTATCCACGGTTTTCAACATCCACAGGGGACTTGGAACTAATCTCCTGCAGATATGGGGGTCCTGCTGTACCTTGAAAACCTTATGAAGGCCATCAATTGAATGTGATCTAGTAGCACTTACGCAGACACATACACATACAGAGTCTGATACATGTGCAGTCCAACATAATACCCACTCCATACTTAGTACTTTAAAAAAAAGCAATTTCTTCCCCTTTTCCTACTTTTTGCCATTACTGGTGTAAAACAAAACAACAACAACATGTTGCCTTTTAAAAAAAAAGGGAACCTTTAAAATTTTCTATATTTTCCATTTCTTTCTGTAGAGGAGAATTAGGGTTTATAAGTGGCTGTCATTTAATATTAATTAATTTTATTAAAATTAAGATAGCTTTTTTAAAAAAATAAGCCCAAATGCCTTTCACGAGGCTCCTGAAAAAAATTGTTTTGTTTTTCTAAATAGAGAAAAAGTGGCCTGCACCCTCCCTGGAATAAATAATGGCAGTTGTGCTAATCATTTTGCTGGTGAAATGCTTCCTCTTCCCCCGGTTCGCTTCTTAAAATCTCTAATTAGGAGGAAGCCCCATCCCAACTTTCTGCTGACTCTTTTTCTCAGGCGTGCTAAAGTAGCATCTGACCCTGGCGTGACTCTCCGCCTGTTCCAGACTGCATCCTCCTTTTAAAAAGGCTGCTGGGGAAAATAAAAAGATCTGGAAATGTGAAGAATCCTACAGAAGGCAGGCGTGTTTTTCCCCCCACAGACAGGGCCAGGTCAATAGGAAATTGATTTACTCCACTCGGGTCCCACCGGCCTGAACTCTTTTCTTTCCAAGGAGGGAAATGCGTGCGGATCGTCGAAACTCTCAGCTTTTTGAGCCTGAGAGGGGCCCACAAGATCATCTGGACAGACCTCCCCTCGACTCGGTACAGAATTGTTGCTTATGACAATGGGGTCCTGGCGGTAGCCATCAAGACCTACTTTGGCTCGGTCCGTTGTTTTCACGGCTCAGTGAGGAACTAAAATCGGACACACACACACACACACACACACACACACACACCTCAAAGTGGACATTCGTGTTGAACTCTCCAACCACCACACTGGAGGCTTGTTCAAAATCTGGGGGTCTTCTTGTGTCCCCCTGTTGTTGCTGTCGTTCTGTGTTGTTGAGTCACCCCAAACTCAAGGCAACCCTAGGAAAGAGCGAGCTTTGAAATGTCCCTTGTTTTTTCCCTGCCCTGAGAGTCTCGTCTTCCGGCACTATCTCTAGTTTCATTTCGCACTGTCCCAGCCCTCCGGTTGCCTCTGACTCAGGGCGACCCTATGACCAAGCCATCTCCAAAATGTCCTGTCCTCCACTGCCCTGCTCAGCTCTTGCAAACTCAAAAAGTTGTGTTTTCCTTGAGAGAGTCCGTCCATCTCATATGTTGGTCTTCCTCTTTTCCTGCTGCTTTTTGTCATTCGCAGCAGGATGGTCCTTTCCAGAGAATCCTGGCTCCCACGATGTGCCCAAAGAACAGTCCTAATTTCTTCATTTTTGCCTCTGGAGAGAGTTCAGGCTTGATTTGATCTAAGATCCCCATCTTTGTCTTTCTGGCATTCTTGTGCCTTTAGGGAAGCAAAAGAAGCTTCTGTTTTCTGTGGCTGTCTCTCCACAACCTCATTCGGGCTCACAGGAGTCTGGATTTGGCTGAATCCAGCAAGATTCATCTCACCTTAGAACCATGGAGCTGGGAAGTCCAAGCTTTTGATGCCTTCCGCTTGAAATCAAGATCAGGAAAAACTTTGTAACTGTTCGAGCAGTACAACTGCGGGACTCACGACCTCGGGAGGAGGTGGCGAGCCTCCAGTGCCAGAGAGACTGGGACCCCCCATCAGTCTGATTGGCTTGGATTTGGGTCCCTACCTTGAGCAGGGGGTTGGTCTAGATGGCCTTACAGGAACCCCTTCCAACTCTATGATTGCAGGACCCCCCAAAATTCCTTCCCGAGACTGTTGTCCCATGCAAGAGCTGGCTTCTGAGGAGGAGCGAGAAGTCCAGGGATGCTGACCCCAGGATCTCACCCCCCCCAAAGACCCCCAGCCTTCCATTCCTATGTCAGAAAAGGCAAAACGCAACCTTTTTTTGGAAAAGGAAGCATTCCATCCGTTTCTCAGGCCGAACCTTCAGAAGAGGCGGGTGTGGGTGGATCTTGTTTGCTCTCCTTGATGGAAAATACCTGCATCTCTTTCCTGGAAACCACAAGAGCTTTTGAAGTTGTTTGCCGTCCGCACGCTTGGGATTCTGATGGCCAGAAGGTATATCTGAAAGAAGTGTGGTTGTGGGCAGGCCAGGTGTGGGGGGCCAGGCGTGGGTGGATCACGGGATTAGTTTTGATGCTGCTGACCCCCTAGATTGCCTTGGCATGTGGGCTGATCTGGGCATTGCTTCCGTAAAGGAATATATCAGTTTAAACCAGCCCTGAGGGTAGGATTTCAGGCAGCACCGGGTGTGGTGTTTTAGAAAAGCCGATGCCTCAGAGCGAGTTGCTGAGACTTTTAAGTGCCAAGTGGGAGAAGGGGTGGACTCGGGGGAAGGTGGTGTGCAGAACTTGAAGCTACTCTGCCCTCTTTCACCAGAAATTCAAAAAAATTTGGCCAAAGATCTCACTGCTTATTCCCAGCTCTGGGTCTCATGGAATCAACAGAAAAACGGACTCTCTCTTCCTCTTGATTCAAGTGTGTCTGTTCTGCTTGGGATTCTTGATCGGATGGAAGCCCCAGGCAGGTTTCGGAACGACCTTCGCGTGTGGACTCCGTGCTTGAGCAACAAATCCAGGTTAAATCAGAACTCCTCTCATGGGCTGCTCCCCACATGGGGCTGCAGAAGAGGCCCGAACGAAACCCGCCCACATTTGGGAAGGAGGGAGAGAAAGGCAGAGAAGGCCAAGCTGTAAATATTGGGCTGAGAAAAAAGGGTTTTTCCTATTAAAAGCAAAGTTGGATTTAGTACTCCTGGAGTCAAGGGGCTGGCGGTGAAGACTTGAAAGGCGCACAGATTGTCGGCAGGTGGATGGAGGGTTTTCCTGCCAGCCCGCATAAATCTCTAGTCCTCTCTCATTTCCGTTTCCTCCCCTCCCGGCCTGTGATCGTCTCGACTTCTCCCCATGTGCACCAGCCTTCTAGAGTCAATTAACGGGACCCTTAATTCGTACGAATTGAGATTCTTCCCCCCGCCCCATGAACTATGGGAGACAGAGCTCAATCGAGTGCGGTAAGCCACCGTGCAATAACTTTGGGGCCTACAAAACGCACAGGTAAGTAATTACTCAAGGGTAAGCCACTGTGCAATAACTTTTGTGCCTGCAAAGCATACCTTACTTCAACGCTCACCTGGCACGCGTTCAAAAAGAAGTCACAACGTTCGTCAAAAATCGCCAGTTCATCAATTCGTGTTCTTCAGAGGTGACGAATCCCCCTCCCTCCCTGAGAAATGTGAATTGAAACATTTTGAATTACAGTATTGTTAATTTGGCAATTTGCTGTGGGAAAGAATGGTAAATTTTGTGATTCGTTATTATGGACCTTAACAAATTGTGAATCATGCCGAATTGCTGTTTTTCCCAATTGGTGCTTCGTCGTGAATAAGCCTTAGTATAATACCTTTCAGGCCTACAAAGCACAGCTCAATGCCAACGTGACTCTCTCTCTTCCATTATTTCTTCATCTTCCGGTTTTGTGGTTCTATTATTAGAGCGTAGAAATGTACTTTAAAAAAGCAACTCATTCCCACTGTCCATTGCAGAGTTGAGAAACTCATTTGCTGGCAATTCATCATTACAACGAATGTTTGTAACAAGCACAAAATTCTTTTCTGCATTCTTCTTTGCTGTTACTTTTGATAATGTCGTTTGGGTGTGTGTGGAACGTTTGACATGGTAAAAGAAGGACATCACATTTGAAAAATAATCCCAGGAAATGCCTCTGAAAAGGTTTAGAAGTGCCTTTCAAAAAAAATGTATCAAGAGAACGTCGTTGGCTGTTTTGTGCTGTCCCGTGGCCTCTGACTCATGGCGCTCTCCGAAATTCTCTCTCCTCAACTCTTGTAGACTGAAACTTGTGGTTCCTTGAGGGAGTTGATCCATCTCACATTCGGTCTTCCTCTTCTCTTGCTTTTTTCCACCTTTCCCAGCTTGATGGTCTTTTCCAGAGAATCCTGCCTTCTCAGGAGGTGCGGCCTCAGCTTTTAACCTCTTTGCCTCGGCAGATATTTTACATACTGTTTGCTTTTCTCCCTCTAACCCAGACCCGGGATCCACTCAAGAACCCACCTACCCTGTCCCATTTTTATGGAGAGAGAAAAAAATGTTTTTAATCAGGTCTTGGGTCCAAAGAGTTGGACTCAGCACCCCGATCCAAAGACGTGCCAACATCCCTTGTTTCACCAAGCCAGCCGACCTCACCCAGGCGGTTGCCCAGGCCAGCAATGGGTTCGGGATACCACCACGGAGCCCTTAATGTCGGCCCCCTTATAGGATTTAATGCTTAGCACTGTAATGCTTCCAATGGAGATGAATCGGTTTCAAAAACACCATTAACGCCCTCCTCACTTTCCCCTGTTCTTCTAAGAGGGCTCCCCAGGGCTGGATTCCAGAGTAAAAGCAAAACCCCAAATCCTGTCCCCCCCTTGGACTTTCTGTGCCAACTCCGATTCTTCCCACACCCCATGTGTTCCCTATTAGGCCCTCGGCACGCTTGGGGTGGGGGGGAGGCTTGCATGGCCATAAATTAGGTTAATGAGCGTGGGTGCCGAAAGGTCGGTATCCACCGTGGGGTGGAGATGAAAGGGAATGCTGAGCGAGGGGTGGGGGGGCCTGGGGAGGCTGACCCCGGGCGCAGGTGGGAAGAGCGATGGGTTTCCGTCTCATTTGGGCCGAGCTTCCAGGCATATGCGTTGCAAAGTCCCGGCCATAAATCTTACACGTTTGGGGTTCAGGAGGAGAGGGGGGGAATCTGAGAAAGTTGATCTTTCACTTAGGGACACAACCCCCCCTCCCTGCCCAGCGGCTTTCCCTTATTCCTGGGAAAATAATTTATTTCGGATGCAACCCCGCTCAAGTCCGGCCGAGTTACCTTTCCAGCCCGCCATTCCGACAATGACCTCTGGGTGGAGCCCACGGGTTCTGCTTCTCTTTGCTTTCTTGATTGGCACGACAGACCTGCAGGGCAGGCTGGTAGGAAAGAAAGAGGAGAAAAAGGAGCAGGCTGTGTTGATTCAAATGGGTTCTCTGGCTCAACCCAGTGTCCAACCTGAGCTACGACACCCCCCAAAACTCACTCCAGATGCTTTTCTGGCTTTGGCTTCTCTTGATATCCAGGAATCACTGCTGGGTCAGACTTGATCTGCACAGAAGCCAACCCTAGGGGTTTCGGGGAAGGAAGGAGAGGCATCCTTTTCTCCTGCACTGTCCTTAAAAACAGGTTCCGTTTTCTGGTTAACACCGGTTTTGATGCCTTTCAAGGGTCATGAGAAGCAGCCGCTTGACTAACGGAGTGGCCTTCCAGTCTGGCAGCAATCCCCTCAAACCCTTGGTTGCTGCCTCGCACTCGCCACCCAAGGCCCCTGCCTCACTTCGGAGGCAGAACATCGTCAGGCGTCCCGCGCCTTTGCAAGAATGAATGAGGTCCACAGCTCAAGGGCCCGGCCTGAAGGGAGCCACAATCGGAGACTCGCTCAGAGGCACTACCGGCATGCTCTTCCAAAAGGCAGGTCATTGGATGCAGAAAAATCAGCAATGTGGCCGCGGCTCATCCGACAGGATCTGCCGTCTCCTCACCCTCGAATGGAAGCCTGTTAAAAGTTTCACAAGGTAGGATCAATGGGATGCCGGAAAAAAGGGTGGGGGTGAAAATTTGGGCAGTTGAGAGCATGGATGTCTTATTCCCTTCCAGGGGGAGATAAATAGCCTTCCTACAAAGTTCATTTACTCACAAGGAAGCCCATTTCTTTTGCACTGGTCGTTCAGAGTGAAGGGTTTCAATGGGTCGAAGAGGGAACTGTGGTGTTTTGAGTCTGATTTTGCAGCAAACGGTTTCGATCGGGAATTTTATTTTGATTTCTCGGAATAAAAAAGCCACGGAGCTCACAGCACTTCACGTGGCGAGATTCTGCTCGCATCAGGCCCCAAACGGTCATACGGTAGGAGTCCCGGGCCAGCGAGAGATTGGTTTTCATGCCCCCACTGCAGATACTGAAAACCGCGGATTATAGCAAACACTATACATAGCATGGGCTCTCGTTCCCTCTAGTGTCCAGTCCTGGTAACTTCATCGTTGGAGATAATATACAGCAGTTTGGAGATTTTTCTTTTAATATTTTCAGACCGTGCATATGTTTATCTGCGGATATTGATCCCGCCAATAAGAGGAGCATCCTGTACTGCGGCAGCTCCCTCCATTCTGCAGTATGGCAGTCATCACACCATCCTAGCTTATGTGCTTTACTTCCGTTAAAATAATATTTAAGCTTCTTTATTTATACATGCATTGCTTACAGTTATCTCTCTCCCCCTATGGGCGCTCAGCCTGGGAGAGCTGCTGTGGCTCTCCAGAGGTTGGTGGTTTACAACTCCCATCATCCCCAAGGAGAATAGCCCCCCAGTAAATTCTGGGTCATTCAGGCGGTTCTGTCTCTAGCTGTGGGGCCAGAGGTTGGGAGTTCGATTCCTGCTTGGGCCTCCCGGATACGGGTGGACCGCTTCCAGCTCGGCCGGAATCCTCTGGAATGCCATGGTTGCGCTGTGCTCTAACTACTACGCCACCCTGCCTGTACAGAGGGCACCCGGGTGGTCCTCCGCAGCGTGGGAGGCTGGCGTGGCCCCCTGCTGGTTGGCCTTCTGACGGGCCGGGGGCTGGCTGGACCCCTGAACAGGAACGCCGAGGTTCCCCACTGAGTCCTGCCCCCTTCCTCCCCATGTGCCAGCCAAACAGATGTTCGGGATTCGGGAAGGGGCGTCCCTGAACACATTCCTGGGCCATGATGCCGCCCCTGATCAAGGCTTGCTGGAGGTGCCAAGCCAGCCCTTGTCAAGAGGCCGGGTGAAAAATGGAGGTGAATCTGATCGGGATGACCTCATGGGCAGGGGGAACAAGAAATCCCGACAAGATTGATGATGGGCTCCGGGAATTCATTTTGGCATCTCCACCGTCCCGGCCAGCTTGGTGGGGAGGAGCCGAACCTCCTCCTCCTCCTCCTCCTCCTCCTAGAATTCATTTTGGCATCTCCACCGCCCTGGCCAGCTTGGTGGGGAGGAGCTGAACCGAGTCCTTCTCCTCCTCCTCCATTTATTTTATTTTATTTTTTGTGCAATCAACTCGCCTCCAAGATCCTAAGAAGAGCGATCTCCCACCTGCTTTTTTGCTTTCCTCCACCCTGAAAGTCTTGTCTTCCGGCACTATCTCTAGTTTTGTTTTGCACCATTCTGGCCCTTGAGTCGCCTCCAACTCACAAAGGAGGGCTCTCCAAAATTTCCCATCCTCCACAGCCCAGCTTGGCTCTTGCAAACTCAAAAATCGTGGATTCCTTGAGACTTGATTGACTCCGTCCATCTCACATTCAGCCTTCCTCTTCTCCTGCTGCCTGCCACTTTTGCCAATATGGCAGTCCCTTCTAGTCTCCAGCACCTTCCAGCTTTGTGGTTCGAAAATGATGATGATGTGAATGATTGTAACTATGAGCCTGGCTGGCTTTTGGGCTCTTTGGTGTGGGCCCAAGGAAAGGCCTTTTCAGCAGCTGATCCCAGGTTGTGGAGCTCAGCTAGGTATCAAAATAGGGTGTCTGATAAACCTCTTTATTAGGTTTCATGCCACTAGCTTAGGGTTTTGGAATTAGGTAGCTGCATCTCTGACAGGCTAACGCGGCTGATGCTTCTCGCGATACGTCCAATGGGTCTCTAACTTTTTAAATTATTTCTATAGATATTTGTGAGAATAGAATGTTATACAGTAGGACCCTCTTATGCACAGGATCGGTATCTGCTGGCTCACTTATCCACAGACTGAAAATATTAAAAGTATTAAAAGAAAAATCCTCTTTCTAAAGCTGAGGTTACCAGATGTGGCCACAAGAGGGAGCCAGAGACCATGCGATACATAGTGCTGGCTAGAGAAATATATTCAACAAGGCCACCACCAGAACTGGCCACCAGAGGGAGCCAGAGACCATGCGGTGGATAGCATTTGCTATTAAAATAGAGTTCTGTATAATCCACATTTTTCAGCATCCGCTGGGGGGCTGGGAACTGATACTCCACATCTACAGGGGGGTCCTTCTGTGCACATATCCTGCACAGAAGAAGGAGTTGCCTTAGGGAGAAAGAACAAAAAGGGCTTCTTTTTACTCTATTATTTTTAATTATTTTTTGGACCTTCTGGGGTCCACATGGGGATCAGCTGGAAGAAAAACCCTATCAACTAAAGAGAACATAAAAGAACAGAAACTTTATTTTTGCCTTTTAACAAGGACTCTCGCGCCCACCCGGGCAAAATTACTTATCGAGATCCATGTGCTTGGGACGCCCGAGGGCGTCTATGGCACCTCTTTTGATTCTCATTTCCCACCCCCCTTTTTTTCCTATCATAAAAGAAACATCCAAGACAGCTAATAAATCATTAAAACCCACAAAGGATCCGAGAGGAAAGTAAAGCAAATGAAAAAAGAGGACAGCCTCCCCCCCAATGAACTGTAAAATCAATAGCCGAGGCAAATTCAACCGAGTGCCGAATTATCTCTTGCCAAAAATCGCAGTAATGTTGGCGCCGGACCACGGCCTCTGCCTTAAACCTACCTCGCCAGGCTGCTGGAAGTGTCAATGTCTTTTGGTTATTTTTTTAAACTTTGTGGTTGGTTGGTTTCTAAAACCTTCATAAGGTCTTCCATGGTTTTCTAAAATAGGTTTATATCCTGTTTTTTTTCAGTTTCTCGCTTGATCTCTTGTCCTCCATGGGGAGAAATACAGCATATAAATCTATACATATTTATATGCCATAGGGCTGTGGTAGACACACGCACAGACAGAGAGAAGGAACGTGTTATCCGCAAGGAATGAGTTCCGACGCCCCCCCCCCCGCCGTGGATGCTCAAAACACAGATGTAGAAACGCTATACTGTACATGGCATGGCCTGTGGCGCCCTCTTGTGGCCAGCTCTGGCCAAGACAGCCTGAGGTAGTTGCGGGGGGAGAGGTTAATTTAGTATGTTCTGTATTTTTCAGCCAGCGGATAAATAGAAGCGGATACTGTTCCCGCGGATAAGGGGGTCCAGATAGATAGATAGATAGATAGATAGATAGATAGATAGATAGATAGATAGATAGATAGATAGATAGATAGATAGATAGATAGATAGATAGATAGATAAAGGGATGAGCTGATCGATCGATCGATCGATCGATCGATAGAAGCGGGGCTGCAAGCCAGCTGCCCTTTTTCCCGCAGGGGTTTCCGAAGCCCCGGCACCTCTTTGCTCCATCGCATCCCCGTCGGCCTCTTGGGGGGGACCCCTTTCCCTTGGGGGAGCCCCGGC